GCAGGTGGGAAACGTAGCGTCCCTGTGCCTGCTGGAGAAATCTATTGAGGATCTGGTGGCAACCCAGACGCTCCGGGTTAGTTGAGGGTATCGGGGACACCCTTGTGAGACCTTAGCGGACCTTTGCATATCCGCTCCTTGCTGTTCAGCCAGTTGCTTTGAATCTTTTTTCAGTCACTTGCCTCTTTGCTGAGTTTTCTGTCCTCAGATGCTCCATATCTCAGCACCAACAGGCAGTCCTCGGCCAGACACCGGGGTGTGCTAAAATGGGATTTACTCCTATTAAGTCTCCTCTTGAGTGTGCTTTGAATGGAATGATTCAGTGTGCAGTCTTTGAGAGAGGCTGTTTAAATATAATAGCGTTAGTGGTATGAAATCTTGTGGGCAGGCTGCTGGCAGACCTTTTCCTCTTGTTTATTTCCTATTTTAGGAATGTAAAGCTTAATTAATCCCATGGTCAGAAATAGATAGGTAGCTTAGCATGGATGAGTGAGCACCTAATATTTCTCTCGGTTACGAGAGTGTTTCTTAACTGAGCTAATTTTTTATCTGAAAAATCTGAGATTTCTTCAACTTTTATTCTGTATTACTAGATAAATGTGCAGGAACTATTTCCAGAGTCCTTCATAATGTTGTGATTTCTTTATACATGGTTTGCTGTCACGATGCAAACTCTATCAAAAATGCGGTAGTATAAATCGTTCATTTGGGCTAAAGTTTCATCTTATTTTTTTGCTGCTTGGATACCAAGCTAAAATGGCTTTGAGCATGTGACATATGTCAGGTTCACGTAAGTATCATGCTAAGCAGTGATTTGTTAAGTAATCTACATCTTCACATCTTGAACTAAAACATGAACTAGGTTTTATAAACCACGTAGTTGTGTTTGCATAACACACTTAAGCTGAACATAAGCCATGTTTTGGTTTAGCGCAAAATGCTTAGATGCAAGTCTGCATCGATTCAGAGGCATACAGATAGAATAAATAAATAAAATGTGGCTAGCATCTTAAGGGCTATTCAGCTTTGAACTCAAAACTCATGGAGCCAGACTTAAATGTAACTCACTTTCCAATCAGTGGGACACACTTCCTGGCAAGCCTATTTAAGATTACAGATGATGAGATGTTGGATGGAAGCTTCTTATATCTTGAAGGAAAAGTTATACACATCTGAATTTCCAATATTTATTGGACTTTCTTTTTTTTGCCCATTCCGATGCATTATAGAATGTAAAAGTCCGGTATCAGATCCACTATTGCTTCAGTGAGCTTTCCAACAAGTCTAATGCAGCAGCAATAAAATTAGTCCATGTGCTGATTAATAATATACATTTTAGGGATTGATGTCATAAGCCATCCTGTTACATCCCAGATGTGTTGGATGAATTGATATATTGAACTAATGTTCAATATGTCTAGGTCAGTGTTTTTCAAACTTGGCAACTTTAAGATGTGTGGACTTCAACTCCCATGCTGGCTGGGAATTCTGGGAGTTGAAGTAGACACATCTTAAAGGTGCCAAGTTTGAAAAACACTGACCTAGTTGATGTCAAAGTGAGGAAAACTCTCATAGTCACATAAGGTTGTGGAATGTATGAAAACTACTAAAGGCCCTGATACAATCACATTTTTAAAATTTGTAATAGATATGTCTTAATTAATTGCTTTATATATGCTGTATGGTATTATAGGAAAAATAAATATTCTTATTGTACGGGGATGTTCTGAACTGACAGACCACAGCCTCTTGATATTTGTTGATGAAATCTAGATTAGCTTGTTATTGTGAGCAGAATCAGCGGTTGAAATAATATCTGTACAAAAAATAGCTGTAGAAAGTGAAGAAGCATACAGAGATATTTGCTATAGGTTCTGTATCTATTGCTGGTTCTGTAACTATAGGTGTGAATACGTACAGTTGCTGTTGTTATGTAGAAAGTTTACACCCTCTGTGCTTAGTAAGTCCGACTTGTCTTAAAACAAAAAATTCTTACCGAAACGCTGTATTCCCTGACGGCAGTGGTTGGAGGGTCTTCCGTAAAATGTTGGGACTCTCTTTACGTGGCCATATTCAGATTAAATGCAACAGGTAAAGTAACCTATGATGAATAAGCAGTTTTCAGCTCTGCTCCTGAACTGAGAGTAAATATTGATTGAGAACGTTCAGTTTACAGACAGGTATTCTCTATGTGTTAATTTTATCTAAGCGCTCCCTCAGTATTTAATTAAGAACATCTCTCCAGAATGCCAAGCCCCTGTACTCACTCAGTGTTATCTGTGTTTACTCAGCAGTAGATCAAATGCTGCACGTGAGGACTACTGTTCCTAGGTCAACGTGGGTTAGTTGGCATCTTTTCTTGAAACGCTACTGTAGCCTTTGGGAGGAAAATTGCATTCACGATTCCACGATGGGAAGGTCACAAAGAATTTTCCAGTGCTTGCACGCCTTGCTCTTTTCCAGGGATTTTCAGGTGACAATATGATCCTTTTTCATCGGTTTCGTGAGGTAGTTTGGGAAGAGAAGGTGCTGAACGTGTAAATCTTGCATTCAAGATTCAGTGTTGATGGTAGGGCCCCGCTCAGCAACCCACAGATATTTTCTGCTCTCTCCTGCCCCCCAGGTCTTGCCTGTCTCTATCTTGGGGTTCCCATGTTCCAAAAGCCTCTCTCTTCCCACATCCTGCGGAGTAATATCGTCACAATGTTATTCTGAATATTGTAGAGAAAGTGATTCTTTTTTTAAAAAAAAAAATGGCGTTCGGGCGGAGTAATATCGTCACAATGTTATTCTGAATATTGTAGAGAAAGTGATTCTTTTTTTAAAAAAAAAAATGGCGTTCGGGCGGAGTAATATCGTCACAATGTTATTCTGAATATTGTAGAGAAAGTGATTCTTTTTTTAAAAAAAAAAAAATGGCGTTCGGTGCCAGCCATTCATGATACATAAAAAGGATACAGAGTAGTTGTCTTTGCGTGGGGCTTCAAGGATGGTCAAAGGCCAGAAATCAATTTTGCTGTTCTTGCCTGTCTACAAAACCCATTGCAAAGCGAGGGAGCAACCTGCTGTTTCCACCTCTGTGGCTCCTGGCGAAGTAGGCTCGCTGCCACTCCTTGGGAAGAGAAAATAATTTGGAGACCGTCGCAGCCAGGAAAAAGGCTCATTTCCCTCCTGCTGCTGAATCTGCTACGTGCACCAGAGCATTTGAGAGAGAGGAGTTGTTTGCTAGCGGAGACCCTTCCTCCAAGGAGCACGGATCACCTACCACCAGTTTAGAGTTGTAGCAGAATAGGCTGGGGGACAAGGGTTTCCCCAAGATGATCTGGTGAATTTCATGATCACGGAGTTTGAATCCGGATTGCCTGTCCCGGCAGTCTTCGTTATGCAAGCTTTGCATCAAGAGTCTTTCTCCTGCACGTTTTCTGGTGGAGGGGAGTGCTCTCTTGCATCAAGCTCCTCCACAGCAGTGTTTTCCAACCTTGGCAGCTTTAAGACGTGTGGATTTGAGCTTCCAGAATTCCCCAGCCAGCATGGATCTGCCAGTCCAGAGTTCTTGCTGTCAGCGGCGACTTGGAATTCACATTTGTGGAATCCTGGTTATAATGTATATCTCCTGCAAGTAAGAAGCTCTTACCTTTGACTCTTTCAGGTCCTAAAATCTGGACCAGCCTCAGAGGTCGATCCAGATCAGGCTTCATCCAGGACTGTCCCTTAAGGATGTCCCAGAACGTGCAAACCTTTGGAATGTAAGACATGTTAAAACTGGCATGGGCAGCCAGCTTTTCTGAATAGTCTTCCTGTCTTGATTGTTGTTCTGATTTACTCCAGCAATGGAAAGCTTTAACCGTTGTGAAGCCAGAACCAAAAATACACCTTACTTTTTTTTTTCCTGACAGATTAGAGAAGGTTCTTAGCTTTTCTTTTTCTGTTCAGTTCTTGCACTATTTTCTTCCTGCGTAATAATTTCAAATCTAATTAATAAAATCCCTTCTTTCGTTCCTCCAGTCATGGCACAAAAGACTAAAAGATCTTCTGTGGGAATACTAACTGCAAGTACTAACTGCTGGTTATATATTCCTTCTCTATGCCAAGTTCAACCTGAGTTGTATTGAAAACAGAGTAGGTGATTTTTTATTTTTTTTTTTGTCCCATGCTTTCATTTATCCTTAATGTTTAGACCAGTGTTTCTCAACCTTGGCACCTTTAAGCTGGGTGGAC